TGATAGGTTCTTTGCTCCCTTCTAGGCTCAACCTCCACTGCCTGCATTTCTATCAGCATTCTGATCTTCCAAACTCCCACCAAAATGGTCCCTCAAGCTCTGCTTACAACATTCCAGAACTTCACTAGCCTGAAGCTCCAAACTCTTCTATGTTCCTCCCACAAACTAGTCCCAAAGACCTACAAACTACATGGTAGATTTATTGTAGCAATGGCACTTCTTGGTACCCATTTTCTATACTAGTTACTTTCCTGTTGCTGTGACCAGCAGTGTAGGACAGGAAGGATTTATTCTGGCTCATGGTTTGAGGGTACAGACCATCATGACAAGGAAGGCATGGTGGCAGGAGCATGAAGCAACTGATCACACTGCATCCACAGTCACAAAGCAGAGATGACCACTGGGGCTCTTCATCTCAGTTTTTATCAGGTAAATCCTTGGTCAGGAAAGTAAACAAATTGTTTCTAACAGTAAGTCTGGTATGGTGGCACAGAATGGCACATACCTGCAATCCCAGCACTTAGGAGGTAGAGGCTGGTGGATCTGGAGTTCAAGGTCATCCTCAGCTTTGTGTCCCTCTCCCTTCCTGTGCCTCCACCCCTGCCTGTGACTGTCAGCTCCAAAGTTCTCTTACTTATCCACACCCTCTAAGGAGAAGCAATCATTTGCTCAGGTTGAGTCACCCAACAAGAGAAATGGCTCACAACTGGGGGCAAATGGCCCCTACACCTGCAGAAGGCATTTGAAAAAGTCTGGAATACTTCTGATTGTTGAGCAGAGATGCCTGCCACTAAACGGTGCATAATTATAATCCCAATGATAAAAAGATCTCTGCTGCAAAATGTCAACAATGCCACTGTGCTATATCTGGAGGTGCTATGTGTCACATGTCCTGCAAAAGCATGAGTTGAAAGCTTAACCCCCAATGCAAGTAGTGGGAAACAAGGCCTAAGGAGAAGCATTTGTTTATGAGGGCTCCTGACTCAGGAGTGAGCTAATGCTAGGCTTGGAAGATCTGGAGGCTGTGAATTCACTCTTCCTCATACCCTCTTGCCCTACCTGTTGGTTCCTCAACCTTGGACTTCCCAGCCTCCAGAACTGTAAAAGGAAATCTGTTCTTTATAAACACTTAGTCTCGGGTACTCTACTATAGCAAAAGAGACTAAGAGGACATTAGCGATTTGGAGAAGGGGAACACAATGTAGACAGGTGAGCATATGGTGCCTAGGCTCTAGTTGGGTGCATTCTTGAATGGCTCCAACTTGTCCATTGACCTACACCTGAGGCCTAAATGCACAATTTCTGATGAACTTAAGCTATCAGTCTCCTCCTCATCAAACTGAGTTCCCAAGTCTTCCAAATGAAGAAGTCAGTGGACCAGTTCCTGAAAGATCTATACTTGAGCCAGAAACATCCAAGAAATCTTGGCAGAAAGAAGCAATTTTTATCCTTTCCCAACTTTAGCAAATATTGTCTCTTTTGCTTTCCATGAAATACTCTTTGATTTTAAACCAAGTTTCTTTTCTAAGCCCCAGGCCCACAAATTCACACCTGAAGGTAATGAGGGCTTTGGGCTGGAAGAAGCAAGCAGGAAGAATATGAAGCAATCTTACCGAACAAAAAGCTGTTGAATAAACAAGTAGGGCAGAATCCTGACTGGCAGTTACTAGAAAATTCTATTTGTCTTAGCCACAGCCTACATCAGAAACTACCCAGCTAGCAAAATATGAAATGTGTATGGGCTAAGGCAACGCACGTGTGAAAAAAGAAAAATTAGCTCTCCATAACAATGTAAACCATGCGTATTTCATGAGGCTTACAGGAAGGTTAGTGAAAATGGCTCCTTCGAGGCCGCACCACCAACCGACTTCTGTGAATATGTAATTCTGGAAACAGCTGGAAACCAATTTTTTTTCCTGTTAGCTATTCATGATGTTTCTTTTCTTGGCTGTACTACAGGTTTGAAATCCTGCGTACTAACTGCAGCCTCAACAAAGCATCACTCATCCACTGTTCACTGGCTGGGGAAACAGCAACTTGTTGACAGTTCTTTTGGGAGAATTTCAGCAGAAGTGGAAGTAACAATATTTTCTATAATTAAAAAGGTCTAGTGCCAGGCGTGATGGTGCATGCCTTTAATCCCAGCACCCAGGAAGCAGAGGCAGGCTGAACTCTGTAAGATTGAGGCAAGCCTGGTCTATGTAGCAAGTTCTTGGCCAGCTGGGTCTATAGGAAGACCCTGTCTCAAAAAAAAAAAAAAAAAAAAAAAAAAAAAGTCCTAGTGCACTTAGAAATACACAATGTAAATCATTTGAAAAGGTTTTTCATGTGCTAGGGTAGATGCACTCCCCTCGGTTCATCAAGTTCACTTTCATTTAGTAGCTAACCAACATCAGACCAACCAAATGTGGATTAAAGCTATTTAAGGGACTGAACGCATAAAGTGATCTTCCATAAGATAGCCTCCCAATTGTAAGCGTTAGTATTGTTCCTTTTATGGAACAGTTTACTACAACAAGCCTTTTTCCATATTCAAAATACTATCTCAATCAAAAGTTTGTCATGAACAATTTCACAAGTAAAGCTAAATATGCTGGTAAGTTAATCCCTTCTTGAAAAAGCAAGGTACAACTGAATAAAACCTGCACCCTATTTAGCTATAGACAGGCATTGAGTAGATAATGTTCTCAGCGTTAGTACTTGCTAATCAGGGATTTGTCTGTTGAAGAGAGAGACATGAGACAGGAGAGTAAGGAGAGTACATTGAAGCAGATGAGGCCACAGGGCTGATTTCTACTCAAAAAGTTAGAAGTATTGGCCCCAATCATGCTAGGACTTGGTGATATGTGTCTCTGAATTACTTTAAATAACTTGGCAAGTTTTATTGCCATGACGGTGATAACTGACAGCAACTGTGGCCATTAGCATTTGCTCTTGATAGTAAACTCCTCAAGATCAGAAATCAGCCCCTATACACCTAAAGATTGCTACCATGTAAATGCTATGAAACAATTTGGTGCACAGTTGCCTTCAAATGTGCAGAAATGTATTGCAGGTGACCTGTGTACCAGACACCTACACTATAGAAGAAACCATCTGTATCTCACAGGAGACAAGACACATGATCCACTGCTTTAATACAGTCCAACAGAAATACCTTCCAATATTAAGCAAACTTCTAAGCTTTGCACATACTTCCTCTAGTTTTTTCTGTCAAGTTGATATCATTATGCAGCAATCAGATGAGGCTAAACTGAGTGAGCGTGGTCATTAATATACAGTCCTAACATTTCTCAACCTCATTTTCTTGATCTTTAAGAACTGGGAAAGATTTCCTTCATTTCAATGCTTTTCTGGAACCAAAAGGCAATAAATAAAAGATATGAAAACATTTTATTATCTATAATATAGGGCAACCCAAGCAAAATAAACCCGTTAGTAGGTCTCCACAGCCAGCCTTAGGCTCTCCAATTCACAACTAACCAGATTTGACGAGGGAAAACCAGTTTTCAGAAAAAATTACCTGGAAGGGCACTTTTTT